ATGTAATACAAAAATTAAATACTTTTGTATTAATAAAAGCATTAAAACTTCATTCCTTTTCATTAAATATCTTTAGTAAAGGATAAGGGTAGAAATTCTATTTTGGGACTTCAAGGCTAAAAACATGCCAATGAATAATAATTAGATTAATACTTCAAAAGAGAAGTTATTTTAAGATCTTTCACTTCCATATAAGGAAAGATTAAACGATTTGCTTTGAGTAATAAATAAATTGATGAGGCGTAGGAATACAAAAAAAGGCAATAATGACTGACCACTTTACAACTTGTAATCATCCTATATAACGCAGAGCACAAGTTTTTGCGTGGCTTTTTGTTGTTTATCATGCCTAATTAAAATTCGTCAGCTTAGACGGGATATGTATTCCCCCTCTCCCGCTTTGGAGAGGGGTTAAACTGCTATTTCACCATCGCTTAGTTAAATAAACAGATAATGCACAACTGGACTCTTTAATCATGCTTTTTTCACGCAATTAACTAAAAAATATCGGTGTGGATACACCGCATATTATATATATATATTTAAAAAAAAAAAAAAAACACTAAATGAGTTTCAAGAGCATTTGATTTGACCACTAAAATGACGCGCCATATGCTGTCATGCCCTTAACAAATCAAATGCGAGATAAAGAATTTTTACTTTTGTTTCGTTGTAGAAGAAAATCGTAAGACGAACTGCAAGAAACAGATATTTATTATTCGTTCATTCGCCAGTTTCTTTAAATGCGAATATTTGTTACGTTTCTTAGATATTTTTATTAATTTATAATACTTGTTAATTGACTATACAATTATTTTTTTTCTTATTTCACACGCTTTAAGAAAGCAAGTACACAGAAGACTGTACAACGTCGTTTCAAGAGTTGGCGATGTTGATGCTTGATATCCATTAGGCGTGCTCTTCGATGCAAACTGTCTATAAACTATAGTAAGGGTTTTTCTTAACTTGCAACAGAGTTTAAGTTAGTGATACGACAAGTGAAATTGCGTTAAAAGTTTTGTGATCAATAAACCACGTGAATATATAGAAAATTTTGCAATCAACTGTAATGTACAAATACCAATTGCGTAAGTCTTTTTCTTGTCGATCTACCCTCATATGCTTAATAGCAGCCGAAATTCTGCGGTCATCTTCATTTTGACAATATTCTTTGGCTGCTCGGCCTACATTTATTTCTAATGGTTACATAAATGTCAATAATCTATAGCAACCTTCATTAAAATCAATAAGTTGCCATTTAAACTATTAATATTGAAACTATCATATATTATTTTTCATACATATGTAAAATTATTCCAATAAATAGTTAAAGTGATAGTAATTTACTAAATTGTTTTGGCAGAAGTGGGCAAATCCTTTAATCAACTAAGCGCACAAGTTTATACATGTCACAGTGCCTCGCATTAGACTTATTATATCCTGTAACTTTTACGTTTACGAAAATCAATTCAATAATTTTCAAAGGATAGACACTATTGAAGAATACAATTTTATTCTTCATTTTTTTGAAAATTTTACTGTTCCCCTTTAACACTGCATCATCAATACCCGATAATCAGGTGAGCGAAAGTTACTTATTTTTATTCTCATGTTGACGTATTACTACAAAAAAGCAGGCGAACAATTGCGTATTATTTTTAATTAAAATATCGAAGTAGGTACCTATCGGAACCGTATCCGAGTGTTGGTAAAAATGCTGTTTATATATTTCTCAGAGAAAGATACATATAAAAAAATTCCTTACTTCGAACACAATCATATTGGACGATTAAAACGCCATCAGGATTTGAACACTGCTTCTCCATTTCATCTGAATAAGTAAAATTACAGTTCCTGAGGCCAGAACACCTAAAAAGAAAAATAATGATCTATAAATTTAGTTATGACTATTGAATTCATAACAATGACTATTGAATTTATGTGGTAGAATAATATGCTTTTACATTTATATAATAACTTATACATTTGATGCTTATATTTACCAGGCCGCTTTAATTTTGGCCATCCAATATATTTCACTTGTATGCATATAAATAGAAAAACTCATCTTTGAATTTAATGTAACCTTCAATGCATGCATTAAAAAGAAATTTTTTTTAAAGAAATAGTTTATAATATATATAATAATTTAAACTTTACAACAGTAGTTAAAATTTTTCGGTCTAGAAATCTTTCTTGGACATAGTTTTCTATAACTGCTCTTCTAAATACTTTTATAACATAAAAATTTCACAGTGTTTCACTTAAGATCAACATTGCATAAGCTTTGTTAATAACTCTTTAATTGCGCCAGTCCAAAGAGAAAAAGGAGCACATTATTTACATAGCTGTCGTTAAAAAAGTCTCCCGCATGACTATGATACGTTGACAGAAAATCAAATTACTCTAACGCGAGAATAATGTATCTCTGCAAATACAGCAATTAAATTAAGTTTTAGGTAACAAAAGTGTCACATAAGAGAGAAAAAAAACCGCTAACACAAGATAAATATTACAACAAGATAAACAATTATACATTAATAAAATTATTCGACACAATATAGGTATACATTTTTCGCCTTCGCATTCCAACTGCTACAGCGCTAACTTATTATGAGAGTTTGTTTAGAAACTTTTAGAAAAATAGTATAAATGCTAAGAATGTAACGAATAATTGGCCACTATTTATAGTATTCGGCCCTTTTAGTCGAATATTATCGGCTGAATGCTTGGCTAAATATTCCAGTGTTTTCATCATAGAAAAAAAATGGGTGAGAATTTCTCACCCTTTCTCNCACTGTTTTATAATTCATAATTCAACTATTAATTGTTATTGTATAAGAGGTAAGATGTTATTGTTCAACTTTTTCAAACTGCGGCCCGCCAGGTGATCAGTGACCGGAAGTCTGGCCCGTGGGTTCTTTGCACTTGGACAGCCCTGATTTATAGTATTCGGCCCTTTTAGTCGAATATTATCGGCTGAATGCTTGGCTAAATATTCGGTAAAATATTATAGGCCAATTGTTTCAAGACAAAATATGTTTCGAAAACTTTTTGTTTAATTTGAACAGGTTTAATAAAGAATAATTTAAAATTGTACTTTTAACTATACATTATTAGAAATAGTTTTTGCATATATTTGCTGAGTTCTATAATTCATGTGCTTTCAAAATTATGTTCTGTAAGACAAATGGAAAAACGAAAATTGAAGAATTTAATGTAGATTACTAAATCAATTTTTTTTAAGGCAAATTAATTTTATCTCTTTTCGACACTTTCTGTTTTTAAGAATTGAGGACTATTTTTTTCTTTCTTTTTCGTTGTTTTTCTTTTTTTATTCCTTCGGCATTTTAAAGTACTGATTCTCAGACATTTATTCTCTTATTTTTTTAATTTACGGAAATATAAATAACTGGTAACCTGAAAATTTGTGATTTTCAATGTTAAAAATTTTGTTTTCAGAACTAAGAATAATTGTTTTGTTTTTTCTTTTCAATCAGTGTTTATGTTATGACAAAGCATTTTTTAAAAAAAAAAACATTTCTAATAAACTCTATTCTTTTATCGTCGCTTTTTCCTAGAAATACGGCAATGTAAAAAATTTAATTTGAGATTTTCAGAGTTAATTTTTCTTTTAAAAATAAAGAACGATTTTTTTTCCCAGTTTTTCTTATTTTTTTTATTTTTAGAAATTTTTGTCTCCACTGATTTTTTTATTATTCACGGCCAGAGTTTTTAGAGAGTTTATTAGACTTAATTATTTTTTTTGTTCTTCACTTTTTCTTAAAAATACGATAATTGCAAAAACTGAGCTGTTAAGCTAAAATTTTTCTTGCCAGAATTGAGATCGATTTTTCTTTTTTCTGTTTCGCATTTGTGATGATAAAAAAGATTTAACACGTATTCTGTCGCACAATTGAAAAAACAACAAAGTGCCTCACGATGTATTTCAAGAGAAGAAGTGAATTGATGATTTTTTTTTTCTCTCGCTAATGCAATGAAAGTTAAAATGGAAATTCAAAAATTGATGGAACAAAATTTAATTTCGAAATTTTTTTTTTACAATAAATAGCTTTTTTCACAAAAATGCCAAATTTCGAATTTTTTGTCGCTTACGTTGATTTTTTTTATTGCACGGCAGTATTGCCCGTCTTTTCAGCGAATCGTGCAAAATACTGCAAGGTCATCCATCTAGTAGAAAAAAAATTTCTTGCTCATTTGCTATGGTGGGTGTTAAGTTAAAGGTTAGCAATCACATTATTTTTATCCCCAAGCTTAATTTAATGTCTTATTTATTTTTTCCCCGTTATTTTTAAAGTTATTATGATTGCTTCAATTCTTATGCTACATATACCTAGCTGTTTTTTTTTTATACAAGTTTTCTTCTTATGTTGATTAGACATTGTACTCTCACGACAGATTCTATACCAATTTAAATTTTGCATTAGTTTGTTAATAGTGAAATTTCATAATCATAAAAGATATGTGGAAGAGTGGGAGTTGTTTTTCTTATCGTCTGTTAATTTACTGGATACCACTTGTGGTGGAAGGTTCGTACATTTCCGATTATCGTCTGTATATTTCGTCCTTTACTCACTCTAATGAATTAAAAAGTAAAATTATTTTTTATTGGATGAAGTTAGTTTTGATCTTTGTTTTATGAGTTATTTTACCGAACTTGCCGATGTCCCGAGATATTGTATTACTAGTAAAACAAGAATTTCGAATTTTTTAAACATACCAATAATAAAGCTAAGTTTTGATTATTTTTCAATAATGACTAAATATGTTAATATACAAAAAATAACATTTACTATTAACTTTTTTTGTTAAAAAAATTCTGCTATTCGATTGTCGAATATTCGTCATTCGGCCAAATTATTATTCGTTACATCCCTAATAAATACTAGTTTTATCAAATAAATGGCAAGAAATTGTGCTTTTATATTTGCTAATAACAATGAATAACGTTACATTGTACAATAATTTAATAAGGGATAGAAAAATTTTAGACGAAGAAGAGAGGCATAATTGAATCTTTCAAGTTTTGCATTTCCAAGAGTGACTTTTCCTAGTGGTAGCTAGGTTATTAAATAAGAATTAAAATATCACTTGTAGGATAATATATCTGTCTATTTTATCAGAGGATTTTATGATTGTAAGAGATTTGTTATGCAATAATACATATATTTATAAGTTTATTCATATAAAATGATGGTATTTAAAATAATTCAAAATTAAATTTATAAATTCAAGTATGAAGTAGAAAAGCATAAGTTTTGTTATCACTTCATAAAAATAAAATCATTGGAAAATCTGGAAGAATTGGCAGTTATGCGGTTTGGAAAGATAGTCTAAAATCGGCAAAACGACCGGGGGAAAAAAATCGTGATAAGCAAACATACACTAATAAAAAAATTTTTTTATCTCGTAACTTTCAGTAATAACGTAATTGGTAGAGCAAGAAGATAACCGCGTCGCATTAAGCTAAAATTAAGTTTGTTTTTTAAATCGAAGAACTCATTGATTTAGATTTTTAATTAAAAGAAAAACTTAGTAATTTTGAGTAAGTTAATATTTTAATATACCGTTTTAATAGCAGCAAAAATAAATTAAATTCGTGACATAACAAATAAAAGAATATCACGAAATTCCGTAACGGAAAGCGCAAATAGTACTTGAATGATTTTACAAGTAACTTAACATATTCTAAGAGATACAACTTTTTGTTCGATGAATTTAATGTCTATTTTTTTTTTAATTTTGAAAAATGCTTTTCAGTTGGATAACAAGAAAAGAATAGATAAAGGTAGTTTTCCTTTCGCGTTTTAAATCATGCTATTTTAAAGCACCTACAAACATTTGCAGATGTTTTTAAAAAGGCAGGTGAAAACAGAAATAAACTCATTCATCACCTAACAATGTGTTTTAACACTTACGAAAACTTCTTTCAAAAGGGAAAATATAGTGAGTTGGATTTGTGTAAACAGTACTTACTACTAGTTGCCAAAAAAATTAGTTACAGCTGGAATTATTCAAATCAAATTTCTTAAATTCCTTTTTTTAAAAGCAAGTACTATTATGAGTAGACAGTTTGATTTTCGTATTGCTTTTTGGCATTTGGATACCAATCACTATGGGACAAATTATTATTCATTTCAATCGCAGAGCACAAGAAAAAAAAAAAAAAAAAAACTTCAGATGTTTCATTAAGATTATCATTTATCATACCCACAAATAATTATTTTTAGAAAAAAAAATTGGATGCTTTTTAGAGAAAACCTCACTATATATTTTATTTATTTATTTACTTTTTTTCTAAATTTTCTTAAAAGCTAAAGTATTATTTATTTAAATATATATTCCTTAACGAAAATAATATATCAGTTTTAGGTAAATTTTTTTAAATTGATTATTGAATTTTTTATTAATACAATCATTTAGATACATATTTAACTTAAAAATATAATTCTTATTATAAGTTTGTTGAAATTAAAATGATGAATGTAAGAAATGCGATGGCAAATACTGAAACTAGAACAGAATTACAGCTTCTTTTTTTTTCTTCAATAAAACTAATTCATATGTCCTACGAAATTAGGTTTTGAAGCTCATTATTTTCACTAAAATTATAATAACGCAACTTAACTTACAATATAAGAATTTCTACAATGAAAGATAACAATCGATATTTGGAAACAATGCTTTCATTTATAGGCTAGCAGAGACTCTAGAAACAGAATGTTCTCTTCAAAACAAATTATTAGTTAAAAATGATTATTTTCCAAAAAAATTTCTTACAATTTTTATGGTTATGGTGTAGTACATCAGAAGTTTTCTAAATGATAAATAAAAAATCTAAAATATTT